TTGACAATAGCCATTCTAATTTCTTTTAAATATATATATATATATATATATATATATATATTATTTATTTTATTTTATCATACTTTTTTTAAAAAATCACACTTATTTATTTGCTTTCATTGAATTCTTGTCCTTGATACATCTTTAATTCCAAACCAATCGTATAACTATACAAATACTAAAATCCTTTGTCAATCATAATTTCAAATATTCCAACTATTTAATCCTTTTAGACTATAATATATATATATATATATATATATATATATATATATTTAATAAAATATTATACCACTCATAATTTTATCCTAATTTCTAACATTGCATTCCTCCACCATCATCACCAAAGATAAATCTAACCAAGTAGTGCAAAGATTGACATAATCTCCTCTTATATAATCAATTACCTTGAAGATTATTTACAAAGTAAATACATCAATAATGTAGAACAAATCTATACAAATTTTGCAAGATTAATATGTGATACAAATATTGAATACTTCATTTAAACGAACCAAATTCTAGATTAGATTAACATATACTACTTCTTACTACAAATAGTTACTTAAGAATTTCAAAACTACTTTATCAATCTTTTGTTATATCCATATATTGCTCAAAATCACCAAAAATGAAATTAAATTAAATTAAAAAAATAAAAATAAAAAATTCCACCAACTTCCAAAATAACCATCAAGTTCTAAAAACTATCATTGTTAAAATACTAAAATACTAAAACAAAGGATAATAAGATCATCAAGTTCTAAAAACTATCCTTGTTAAAATACTAAAATACTAAAATACTAAAACAAAGGATAATAAGATCATCAAGTTCTAAAAACTATCATTGTTAAACTATCATTTTTGTTTTAAAACAAAGGATAATAAGATCACCATCAAGTACATCCTGCACTTAAGCACATGTTGAGGTTGGAAGTGATTCACATCCAACATGTCCCCTACTGTGAGAATGAATAGCATCTGCACATAGACAATATTGTCAAAGTTTACAAGCTCACTTCAAACCTTCGACTCTAAACCACATAAAAGCCTCATCCCCCAATCTCCAAGAAAAATAGCACTTACATCAACCATTAATCAATCACTAACACCCTTGGAGGAGTACTAATTCAGAAGTATTCCAGATAATGCAGGAGGTAGTCTATCTGATTGTAACCCTTCAAACCGTACTTAACGACGATTAGAAAACCAAAACTGGTCACAACCTATCCACTGGAGCAAACTTCATCGCCACTGCACTGCGTGTGCAAATCACACAGTTCTGCGAATAACACAACAGCCTACATCCTCTCGAACATGTCAACGTGCAATTCCTTACAACCAAATCTTATAATCGAACCTTCGAAACGTGTACACACGATATACAACAGTGATCGTAGTCGGTGACACACTTCTCCACCTAGCCCACGACGTCAACACTGGCCTCCAGCAAAGTTAATCATCGCCAACACAAAGATTAAAAAAAGAAAAAAAAAAGAGGTGAAACTCCAAAGGACCGATACAGGTAGAAACCGAAAGCTGAGGACCGGGAGAAACACCGAGCACAGAGCTGAGTGAACCCTCCCCATTCACCCAAGTATGTGAACTTGCAAATCAGGCCTAGGTGCAAATCCTTACCGACACATGCACTCAACCAAAGCAACTGTTCATCCAAACCCCCCAAGCAAACTTACTTGTCGTTTCAAACTGCGCACCACGTCGGCCTTAACTATTTTATCCTCAACCACTTGTCCTCGCACAGTAATCCACTCACGGTTCAATCCGTTCAGCAACGGTGGTAGTACTCATTTGTGGAGTGTGCAAGAGAACTTTGCATCTAAGTCCAACAAGGGATCCTTGTGCACAGCGGGATAGGCTAATACATATGAAGATGATAGAAAGAGGTCTGTCAGAGCCACTTAAACCTCGCGAATCAGGCGATGACGACAACGAGACGACGCAAGAAAAGTTCGCCAAATGGTGGACATGGACGAGACCCTTGATTATGAGGATGAGGAAGATGAGTATGACAGAGTAGCAGCTGGAACAATAATGGGTACGAACGATGGATTGTTCATGAATCGGATTGGGAGTTGCAGTGCCGGTTGGCAGCAGTCAAATCCTCTGTCAACTTCTTTCGCTGACTGGCGCCAGCCATATCTTCGGTACTGCAGTACTAATGATGAAGCTATCCTTGCACGACTCCAGGATGATCGTGAAGCTACTATAAGAGCTACGAACAAAGTATTAGAATTAGGTGAATTAGGTCCTGGAGGAGGATTCTAACGTGGTTGCATAGCTGCCAGTCAGACAGGACAATGAAGGAGAAGCCATGGACATCGACGCGAATGAACACCATGACCAGGCTCCGGCAGAAGTCACAGCAGAAGCTGGGTCTGAAGTATCTGGTAGCTCAGAGACCACTGAAGGTAATGATGGTGAACGGAAATGAAGAGCAGGAGAATCTGTAAGATATGCAACGGAAGAAACTGTGGGAGCAGAGTCCAAAGCGGGAGGATCTGATGTTCAGGAACCTCTGCAAAAAGGCGTGATGTGCCTCATGTCTGAAGATTCAACGCCGTTAAGTAGAAGTGCTGATCCTACTTCCACTGTCGTACTGTCGTGGTTTCAACATATAGATGTTCTAAAGTTCTAGACCGTGTAAAACATCCATCGAATCGTATTTACTACACATCAAATTGGTCAGACCAGGATGAGGAGCAACCGAACATTGCAGCCTTCGATGCTAATGGGGCAGGAAATGGCTACTGACGAGCAAGAAGTACAACTTCCATAGTCTTGTTCCATCCAACAAGATGAGCTTCATCTCTGAAATGCCTAATAGAAGCTTGAAAGCGGTGGGAGACTTAGAACCCCAAATCATGAAGAACGACAACATTTTTTAGATGCAAACATTATATGAGACAGATTTGGTTGGGAACGGTTGGCTTGGCATCACAAATGTTCTTTTTTACTGCATCAATCTACTTGAGCACACAGAAGAATACTGCTTGAAGGTTCGCACTTCACGTTCAGTTCATCCACATCGTGGTCTTCTGACCAATGTTGCACCTAATGCCTTGGTGAGATTTCCAGCGTTTGGTGCTTGCTCTGTTCGGAGAACCCTGAATCCAAGGATTTAATCCACTGTCACACCACTCACAATTTGTTATTTGGTACGTCTATCTGCAATTGAACACTTTCCTTCTAGGAGAGTCTCCTGAGGGATGTGTTATCTCAACTGCCCAACGTCCTAGTAAAGCAATTGGAATTGGGTATTAGACAACAGAGAGAATCAAGACATCTGCATTTCCATGTATGTAGGTATATAGAAGCCCTAGTAGAAAATTCGAGTACCATTTGTAATTGTTGTCAGGAGCAAAGTAGGGGAATGTGGTGGTGGATAGGTTGTATCGATGGCTTTGATGACTTTACTGTACGACAGGAAGCACAAGTAAGACCCGTCATCAAGTATTCTCGATCTGTATGCATGGGATCCTATTGAGGGGATCGGTGCTCTGTGGAACAACGAGGCTGGTAAGTCCATCGCCAATGATAAACATGGAGTGGGCGTGCACCCGAGAGAGTTAGAAGAAGACTGCCGCGTCTTCAAAGCTGATCTCCCTGGTAGTGAAGCGCCGATGACAAAGAAAAAGGAACGAGAATTGATTTGTGATGTCACATTGCATCTGAAAGGCTTCCAAGTCCATTCCATTTGCAGGAAGTTTGTAGTGTAATTGAGTCGGATATATACTCGACACAACATCAGAAATTCCAATGGATTGCCAAGGTATGGAGGATAGCAAATACCTTGCTACTCCACGGGCGAGACACAAAGGAGATGGACATGAACAAGTGGCACAGGGTAAAAGGTCCCAGAACACGTTACTTCGCTCCTTTCGACCTTCCCGACTGCACCAGCATTGGTTCTGTGGACGCCAAACACAAATGGCGTAGTCACTGTCACCGCTTCATTAAGAATGAGTGCCAATAGATCCACCCCTCGCTACATTGATGCTACATGAACTTACTCAAAAGCTAAGAATTTCAGATTTCGTAGTAGTTTTTCACGGGTGGCTGTAATTTAATAGTTTTACTTTTAGAAATCTACTCTCGCCAGTGGGTTCTGGAAGGTTCCAATCCACAGATTCTCATCGATTGTTACCAGTTGCAACAATCTTACCAGCGCTCATGTTCCTTAAATCTTCATGAAAGCCTTTAAGACGTGGCGAGCTTTGCGATGAAAAGGATCAATCCTCTTCTTCAATCCACAATTTCAATGGCGTGTGATTTCGTTAGATGAACGTAAGGTGTGGAAACTGCGAGACAAATCGCACAAGGGCATCGAGCGGCATCATATCTGTGTGGAGTGCCCTCTCTGTCCAAGGTTTCGCCACTCGGACACATTTCAGACAATTGCGTACAGATGTGTATACATTTGGAGTCGCAGTATGGCTTCTGGTATACAAGCTCTGACAGCGCTGGCCTCCTGGAACACTTTTGCGGTGGTATAAGAGTAACAAAGAACACTCCCACACAGTAAAACTGCTAACTCTGCACATTGTAACACCCAAACCATTATAATGCCCTCAGAACAGATACTAAGCATACGGCAATGATTTTAGAAGCAGGTGCTAAGCTACAAGTGACATAATTGTGTTTCCTAATCGAGATAATCTTCGCGATGAGGACAGGAATTGATGGAACCACAAGTAACCGTCTCCTTCTGGAGGATCTCAGCCAAGTGCTTTGAAACAAGCATCGCCGCGGACCAGGGGACAACGATGACTGTAACCAGGCAATAATGGTGGTAGTCAGTTTGAGTAGAAAATGCCAGCGAGGTCTTTCCATTGTCATGTTCCAAATAATTATCATGTACAGATGCAGTTACATGCGCATCCACAAGAACCGACTCATTCCATGATCAGTAGCTTGTAAAAACAACACATGTAAAGGACACCATAATACTTGTCCACATATGTGAGTGAGATAATCAAACAGACGCAAAGAAGATTTGCCGGAACCGATAGAAAATTCCGTTCTCGATTTCAGACATTAACACAAATATGTTCCTCTTGCGAAACAAAAACTTGAAGTCTTGTTTCAGACTTCATGAAGATATATTCCTCTGTGGCAAGACACAACACCTAGATTACTGAGGCCACCACCAGAACCTGGCGCCCCTCCTTATTGCAATGGCAGCGAATCATACCACCGAGAGGAGGAGTACTTGCGTCAATCTAGACTCTACAATGGCCTCCACGTGCTCAGAAAATCCAATCACATCATCCAGACCAGCGCTAAATTTTTTTTGTGAGTTTCTTTTTCCCACCTCCTACAGCGAGCTAGGTATACTAGTCACCTGTACAGATTACGCTCAACTCGAAGGCGGTGTTTGTTAGTAAGTCAATCGAACAAATACTATTACAACGCAGCATCAACTCACATTGTGCAACATCTAGAAAGGGCATGTAAAATAACCCCCTTAAAACTCCGGTTCTTTTTGTTCCTCTCTCCTAACAGCAATTGCCTTGGGTGTTAATGTACAAAAGAGAGAGATATTGTGATGACAAATGAGACCCTGGGTGGCCGAAGGATGCATTCCTGGACTCACCACTCCACCACTTGTGATGCAGTTAGTGTTGTCACAAGCCCGCAAGCCAATTGTCCAGATGTTTCTTGTTTTCTGAAAAGGCAAGACAGAAAACTCAGCACTCATCCGTAAACAGTACGAGATAAGTCTGCAACGAGGAAATTGTCGGCAACGAAATATGCAGCCACCATTTCTCATATCCATGAATTAAGCCCAAATGCACTGTTCCCGACAACTGCGGGATGTAAAATGCTTTCAGGGACACTACACGAGCAGAAATAACTCAAATTGAGTTACGACTGCAACAAAGTGCCATGTGCAACCTGTCTAAAACAAAAACAAAACAAACAATACAAATAAACAAACAGAGACAGACAGACAAATGAAAGACATGTATTACGAACGCTCCATCAGCTGAGAGTTATTCATCAAGTTAGCCTGTAAAAGAACAACGAATGAATAACAGAGCAAGAAGAAAATGTACCCTCATAAGTATGTTTAGAAAGATTAGCTAGCACTGCGGCCCAAGGCGGCTGCTCCTCCGCCTTTGCAGAAGACTTCGCCGTAGAAGCAATATTTGGAGATGGTGAACCATAGCAGGGGACAAGCACCGCGAAGCTATCTTCTAGCTCATTCTCCGTGGTGAAGCCGTTGTGGTGGGGCTCAAACCAACCCACAGACCAGTCAGACACATCGGACTCCGACCCAGACATGGAGATTCCATCTGCAGGGACAATGACCAAGTCGAATTCCGGATCAATCGTCTTCTGGTTACGTTTGGGTGAAATCTTCCGACGCCGCCCACGTCTCTTCTGCCATGAGGTGGAAGCAACAGAGCCCCCGACTGCCGGAAGCTTGATTCCTCGCCGCCGGATGGGTAAAGGGGTCAAGGTTCCCTCTGAGAAAGTTGGCCTCTGAATCAGGCCTGTCAACGCGATTGCTGCCACCGCCATAAACTTTCTGGCATGTGAATTGGGCACAATTCTAAAAAATTTCGTACCCCAGGCACACGCAATAGCACACGCCGCGTAAATCCCAAGGCGAAACCCTCAACCCTCAAATTCAGCACAGACGTCACCTTACAAACAGTGGTGTCTGCTTTGAATATCTTCCACGCCCACCCCCTCCAGCAACGGGTTTCACCAAATGAGTGTGCCGGATCGAAAATTCCAAAAACCCACAAAAACTGCTCCCGAAGCTACCGCCAAAACTTCGCCTCGAGCATAAAAACCCCGGTAACACACCCGGAATTATCACTTCCAATACTGCCGGCAAAGATGCAAAAAACAGCCCTTAAAACAGCCTTTTCTGCAAATTGCACTTAACATTCATGTCACTGCGCGGACGAGCCACATCATCACATGACTAGGGGTAACAATCCTCCTTCCCTCACACACGCTCCTCACACAATGACTGACCTCATTGCAACATGTTCACCGCAAAGGCAGAACCAACGGCACCTACTCCACAACAATCTACCCGTGGAGTACTGATTTCAACTGATGAACCTCATCAACAACTGCGAAGGAAAGGCCTGAAGCTTATATAATTTTCCGATCCGTAGAAACCGATGCTGGGGATAGCGAGGATGGATTCCCCACTCCACCCGATTTGAGCATCCAGCGCAGCACGCACCTGTGGACCCCGTCGTCCCATGTGTAAAAATCACTCCCAATCTGGCAGTGAAAGTGTTGATCAATCCTCCTCCAGAGGCTTGATTCTCCGCAGTGTGCCAGGCATCCTACACCCTGGACCGGGGCTCGGGCCGGGTGGGAGTGGGCCGAGTCAGGACAGAGAGGGACGACAACGGGAGGCGCAGCTGGGTTTGCACTGCCCCGGCTCATCCTGGTCCATTTCTTGTTGCGCACATAAAGCATCAGTCCAGCCCCGAGAAAGACCATTCTCTTTTCATTATAATCTGCTTGGGTGGAATGGATTATTCATGCGATATTTCATTAAAATAAGAATTCCGCAATGAGAGGATGTGGAGTTTTATAAGATTACTGGAGCGTTATAGGTAGCATTTTCTTATTTGCTTTCCGATGATTACTCAGGATAAGGTTAAAAGGGCGTGGAGAGGGTTTGTGACACAACGCCGGACTGGGCACACCTTTTTCTCCGCCCGCTCTAGTTGGATTACCATGAATTGCCGAACTGAAACTCTGAAGATCGTTCGGTAATTAAACGCTGAAAATTGATACTCATTTCGGAAACTCTCTGTATAGTAATTTACTATGCACAGGGTTTTGTGTAGAAGTGTCATCAGAGTGTCAGGGGGGCATCAACGCGGGACAATCGTTGGCATTTTCCAGAACCAATAGATTCCTATTCTGCTCATTTCACTGATCTCTAGAGGCTGCGGCTAATTTTAGCTCAATTTTCAAATTCGTAACGTGCATTCAAATCTACCTACCTCGCCAGAAGTGCTGCCACACCCCTGGACGGAGGAGGAACCATGCCAATTTCGCTCCGGCAAACATTAAACAACTCATTGTCTTCCACAGTATTTCGGGCAGCTTAAAAGCATTTGCAAGGATGGATGGGTCTACAGTTTCTTCACCACCCGTGGAGCCTAGGTCTCAGGTCTGTTGTGGCCCCCACAAAAGAACGGCTACAAAGAGAGCAAGTTGAGCAATCATATGGAAGTCCTCGGGACCTTCAATTTCCGAAGCCAGTCTTCCGAATTTAACAGAATGAAATGTAACTTCACTCGCGGATTAGGTCACGAAAAAAACAACGACCCATCACGTCGGTCACAGGAAACGAGAGCTTCGTCCTGCACGCATCCCGATTCCCGACCCCAACAGCGATGAGCCCATCGTGAAGCCACGGATGAATGAGTGGAATGGATAAAATGTTCATGACGACACTGCATGGATGGAACTGTCCTGTCGATGAGTCCACGGTGTCACATTTGAGCCCTTGTTCCATTCGCCCGTTGCGTGGGTTCGGTCGACCAATCCGAACTCTGAAGCTCAGGCCTGGTGATTCTGTTCCCACGGTTCCTGTCTCCAGTTGTCATGCTTTTCATTACTTTTACTCCGAAAATTGAGTAACTTTCATCACCTTTTAAAAGTTGATATCATACTTTTTCCCACACAACAGCGCCCCATGTTAGTATCTTTCTACCAGTAAGTTCAAGGAAAATTCTACTATGTCTTCATGCTGGGCCTTTGTCTTGATTCAATCAGTTGGTTCTATGGTGTACATTAGATTGGGGAGTGGGATGGGGGGCCTGTGTTGGCCAGGTCACCTTGGGGAAGTGGCCAAACATTCTCAATCACTTTTGGGCAATGGGGGAGAGAGCTATTCCATTTCTATATTCCATATTCTATTTTCTATATTCTATGTGTGGCCTATACCACTCATTTGGATTTCACCTAGATCGGGATCTTTCATGCTGTCAGTGGCGGCCAAAGGGAGCTTCCACAAATTGACTGGGGCCCACTGCTTGGGGTGAGATTCACCATGAGCTCCTATTAGTAAGTCCCCCAAGAGCAATAGCCCTGAGTAGTGAGACCAACATGATAGTGGATTGAGTGAGCACACTAATACAGACACTAATCTTAGTATTAATCCTTCAATTAGAGCAATAGAAGGGATATTCCTTATTTCCAAGTGGTGGAGTGCGTGGGAGGCTTAGTCAAGAAGCCTTTTGTATGGCGGACCAATTGCAGCCTTTTTGACCCATGTGATCAGCTACAGTTGTCGTGGATGAAGGATGAAACCACGTCTTACTTTGAAGAGCATCCATTCGATGATAAAGTAAACGTTAAAGGTGGCGAAAGTAAAGCAAGAAAGAACAGATCAAGCCAACGGTATTGGATGGAGCCTGTATGGATGAACGGGAGAATGTGCGTCTCGTCTGCAGTGTTGTCATCCCTTTATTCTTCTGGAATGAGCGACTTGGGGTGCTCAGAAGATGTTGGTGTTTTCAGAAACACAACTGTGACTAAGGAACAGCTTTCTTCATTTCTTTTCCTTTCCATCTTTATTCCATTCTTTTTTCAAAGCAAGCCAATTGTTGTTGGAAGCACGTGTCACATCTATATATTAAGATCGTTCAAGGAGACAAGTGGTGGCTTTCATTCACCGCATGGATGGACCTTTGTTTTCATCAAAAAGGTTCATGTTTTGTGGAGTTTACAACCCGTTTTACAATTCATCAATGTGTATTATAGTTGATTGGGGAATTCTACAAGGTTCAAGTAGTGGTTCTTGATGGATGCATAAATGGGTCTTCATTTTCATCAAAAAATTTTGCCTTCTCTGAAGTTCACAAGGCATTCCATAGGACGTTTTATAGATAATCAAGGCATTTGATTAGACTTTTTACAGTTGTTTAAGGCAGTTCACAAGGCATTTTAGATTACTAGAAATAGCATCAGAGCTGTAAGAATAGTTGTCAAGGATAATCTTTTGATTTACTATTAATTTTCTTTTCAAGAGATCTTACTTCACAATTACAAATGTATAATAGAATAAGTCTTTACGTTTGTGACTAATGATTCTGTAGAAAATAACTTCATTATTAACAAAATTAAAAATTAAAAATTAAAAATTCATTGTTAAAAATAAAAAATTCACAAACTTTGCAAGGGTGGGATGTGTCAATACTACCATGGTTTTTTTTCTAACAAAGAACATAATTTTTTGGTGATGCCAATTTTTGCTTACATTACAATACAATGAAGAGGGAGTCTATATTGCTATGAGAACTATGCAAGAGTATACTTACATGATTAGTTTATGAATGAAGGAGACTTTTTAGAAGTTAAGTTGATTGAAGTATGTCATTTTAGTTTTTAATTTCCATTGCAAAATACAAAATTTGGATGTTGATATTTTACTTTTTAATAAAAAAATTATTTTATCAATGTAATAGAGTCTCATATAGAATTTGCAAAGGTAGCAATTTGTAGGCATGTTTTACTCTTTAATTGGATTGGGTCATTTCATAGAATATAATTGCATTACTCAAATGTTATATCTTGTACGTCTCCAAATTGTGCATTGCAATAAAAGGTATTCAACTATATTTTGTAAATATAGTTTATTATATTTTATGAATATAATTTATTTTATTATGTAAAAATATAGTTTATTTTATTTTATTAAGTTTGTATTGGATTTTATGAAATGGATTTGATTAAAAGTTACATCACTATAAATTTAGATACAATGCTATCTAATATGCATCTCTTCTTTTTTCTTCTTTCATTCTTTTGTATCTTAGAACTACTTATGTTCACAATATGAAGTTTGTATTCTTAACTTTTATTATTGTTCTAAGTATTGTTAGTATTGGGGGTTTAACTTTGGAGGTGTTGCAAGGTGATACTTAGATTTTAATTTAATTTGTTGTTTTATTATTTGCATGTAGAGTTGAAGAAAGGATGTGAAGTGGTTTTGTATTTTTTTGCTTTTCTTTCAATGTTTTAGAATGTATATCAAAGAAAAAATCACCTCACATTTCAATTTACAACTCAAGAAGTTTCAAAGTTAAGTAAGATGTTGTATTCTTGCATATTCACATCAACTTCACCAAAAGTAATAATTATTAATCAATATATAGTGAAGCAATAACTGCTATTCTTTACCAAGCAACAAAATTGGGAAGCATGCATTCTAGCAAAAGGCCTTGCTTCAAAAAAATTCTATCTAATTTGCAACAATAGGGAGGCAAAATCCAAAATTGTTGATCCAATCTTTGTAAACAAGTTAGCTTCCAACTTTTTGAGTGGTGAAAGTAGCTCTCAATTCTATTGCTTGAAACCCCAATTTCAAATCAAGGCTTTTATTCATGAATCCAAGAAATTGTCTTTGCCTTGAGTGGATTTTTTGGCAAATCCATGCTTAGGTGTAGTAATCATCATCTTTTTATTATTTTTCTTTAGATTCATAATTTGATTTTTTTAAGTTTTAATTATTCTTTTAAAATATAATATCTATAAAGCAAATCATAATTTGGAGGTATTAGAACAACAATCCCTGCATTGTTTTTACTACTAGGACCTAACTTCCAAGGTTTACATTCTCAAGTATCAATGGTATTAATTATAATCCGTTGATTAGACAAAATGATATATGTGCATGAATATTGTTGTATTCTTGCATGTTCATATTTTTATATTCAGCTTAATTTGCAAGAATGATTATAAGTATGTATCTTGAATAACATGTAGCAAAATGATGAAAAGTGAACAGTGTGTGTGGACTTGTAGTTTGAGGAGGAAGATGTGAGTCTACTCAATATTACATCACTAGTATATTTTAACAAAAAGAAGAATGTGTTGTATCACTTGGGCTTTAACAAAAGGCGTTTGCAAGTGCAAGTCCATCGAGAATCATTAGCTCTTGCAACTACATTTAGCAAAGTAATTTTGTAGTGTCTACATCCTCCACCTCTCATATTGGAGTTGGTTTGTCAAACTTTGGACAACAAAGTAAAAGAATAGTGCAAATACCTATCTAAGAAACAAATATTTGTGAAGAAGATGCATATATTGTTTAGTTTTTATTAAATTAATTTTATTCATTTATTTTTGGATGCAATATTTTATATGTGATGTCCTTTTTGAGACATGTGATACTACATGATGTAGATTCACCAAAATATCCTTTCAGTACTTATTCTGCATTTGCAAATGGGAGTAATGCCCTACAATGAGAATAATGCTCTCAAGTCATGCTCCTCCAACTAAACCATTCATCGAGGCTTCACCAATACTACAATAGATAATGTACTAGAGAATTCTTTTCTTGGGTAGATAATATGTAATTCACCTTTGACAAGGTTAGGATCTGTGGGGGCTTTGGACAATCAAATTTGCTCAAGTTTATGTGGTTCTTTGGAAAGAAGCCCACTATCCTAGTAGAATGGGACTCGGAGTGCAATGAGGGTTGGTATTGGATATCGAGGCTTAGTCTTGAATTTCAAATTCTTGAGATTTTGCAACAACGGGCAAAATGGCACAGGTTGAGCTAGTGTAGGATTAATATGTAAGTGATTTTTACTGTATTGCTGAAATGCATCAATCTTCAAGTAGTTTTAAACAGTTTATCACCCTTACGTTTAACCATGAGAACAAAAAGAAAAGCCTCATGAGTACAAAAAATACCCATAATAATAAAAACATTGATAACATACAACTTGAATAATTATCCAAAAAGACAATTTCAAAAAGCTGGGTGTCTCACTCAGTTGCATTATAAACATTATCAAATACTCATGTGATGTAGTTGGTTAATATCTTAGCAACCAAAAAACAAAATAAAACATATCCAGTATGTAATTGCCATTATGAAGCCACTTAAGATATGTACAAAAAATGTCATCTCTTTTTCTTTTACGTTTCAAAAGGTCAGGCTCCAAGTGATCAATCAGTTTGGAATAATGCATCGAATTAGGGGACCTGTTCCCCCTGTTTAATATAATCGGCAGCCTAGTCACCCACACAAGTATCAAGCAAAGATATGTGCCGAAGCCACGCGAGCCGAAGACCCTGCCCACTTCAAGGTGCCTGGCCTCCAATTGGACGCGCACTTCTCAAGGTTCGGAATGTCTGCAGGCTTGGATTTGGGATTTGCCTGCCCGGGTGGGCGGGCAAGAGAAATAAACAAAAAAGGCTTTTGATTCCACAAGCCTCCAAATTGTTGGAGGCTTTCCATCACCAGCATCTCCCTAAGCCTCTCACAAGTCTGGTATGTGCACCTGTAAAGTCCAAAGGTACTCCCACAGCTCAGCTTCCTTGTAATCTTTAATTTTCGGGCAAATAGTCTTCAGCCTATCGAATTCTTGTTCTTTAGAGGCCTTTTAGGCGTCACTTGTATGGACGCCCCCTCAAGGGCCGCCTGAACTCTGCAGTCACCGAAGGGCAGGGGGCTTGAGAGTTGGATACCAACCAACAAGATTGATAACCTTCTGCAGATGAGTCCAACCCACCTCCGAAAACCATCCAAAACTTTGGACAGATTCCGCACAAGAATTATACTATCATCCATATGGATGAATGAATGTTTTTGGGGGATGTGTTCAGAGGAGAAATGTAGCCGAAGTATCATGTTGTGAACCATGAAATTTGAACCCCCCTGAAGACTGTAGAGGGATCCAAAGGGGGAGCAGTGTTGGAGCCACGTGGGAAGGGTAAGATGACGTGGCATGTAACGAGCCACGTGGCGTAGCGCTTCAGGAAACCATTGGCCAGATGCTCATGTCTGGCTCTATTTCATCAGTCCAGCTTAGCGCTGGGACAGTTCTAATGTGTGTTGATGCACTAGTTTACTATTTTCATTAGTGCCAAAGGGTGGGTTCACATGATTTCACTTGTTGTCTTAGGATTTGATCATATATGGTGGGTCAGTTGATGATGACAATATCCATAAAAACCATATATGACATACATGTTGGTTAAAATAAAATATGTGTTGATTGTATCCATATGTATATTTACAAATTGAAATGTTTTTATCATAACATTGAGATGTATTTTAGTACAATGAGTTTTTGATATGTTTAGGTAGTGTTTTTATAAACTTGGTTAAAATTTTCATATACAAAAATTGCATAACTACATGTAACTTTATTTAAGAACAACACACAAGAAGATAAAAATAAAACTATCTAAGATGATCCTCCAATGCACATAATTTTTACTACTTGAAATTTATGTTAGCAATGCTCCCATGTCTAAATGACTGCATAGTCACAGGTGCATTTCTACTAAATTGTTAGTTCACATAAATAAAATAGTGACAATCAAATTTGTTAATGTTCAATGATGGGTAAGGATATCAAGTTCATAAATAGTGCTGTTTTTTAATTACTTTGTATTCAAATTCACACATCAACTAGTATTCTATAATTTTCCTGCTAAAACATGTATTAATTTTATTGATCAATATTGACCAAAGCTAACACTCAATTTCTTTGCCATTGTTTATGAATTGTCTCCATGGTGCACAACATAATATGTAGCAGAAATGGAAAACCAACTAAATTAAATGAACCCAAAATTCAAAACTTGAGAAAAAAAATTCTATTGCATTTTGATTCTTAAACAAAACATGGAATGCAAATGCTACTATCTTCTACATTCCCACAAACCTGCATAAAAAAAAGAAAAAACCAACATCTTATTAAACACACTAAAAAGCAATAATATATCAATGAATTGCATACACACACATTAAACAAAAGAGCGATTTCTTGCAAATTTAATGAGCAAGAGCTCATCGGAGGGTACTCAATTCATGATTTCACAAACGTGAAAGTGGGACATTTATTTAGCTTTTTCTCAGCTTTGCTTTCTTCCTTAGATGCTGCTGTTAACTCATACCGAAACGTGTCGGTTCTTAGGTCATACCACCGCGTATCGCCCGTGTTTTGGGTACCACATCCTAAGACCGTGCGTGGTCACGCTCTGAGCGCCGCAGGGCTTTCGTGCGTGCGTGACAAACCTGGTGGATATGGTGAATCGGGGCAATAGGAAAGATCAGGGCTAAAGAGAGAGAGCAAGAAAGAGTGGAAACATCAGCTTCGTCGCTGAATCGTCTCGAGGTTGCTTTGGATTCAGAGCAGCACGATCCAACGCTATCCACGACAATGTCGCAGAGAGCTTGGCCGGCGTCTCCACCGAGAGGGGCCACATGGAGGTTGCTTACTCCCCACCTCTTCTTCCACTTTCCCTTGCCGCTCCATTTTGAGTATTGAAAGCTTCATCGTCTGTTTTCGGAAGTTAAGCTCCGTTGTTCATTCCACCCAATTACAGGATTGTGTGGTGGCGCTGCCAATGCCATACCTGTGTGCTGGTTTCCGGTTCCTACGCCCAACATTCCCCTGCTCACTGTGATTAATCCGCATGCCGGCCTCCGAGTCGAGTGATGTCTGGAAGTGATACACGGAATGGAGCTTCTCTGTGAATCCAGTGTTTTTGGTGGGTTGGTGGTCGCTTGCACTCTCTGGTTTTATGAAAGGTGTGATGTGAACACCTGCATGGATAAGGTGATATCTCAATGGCGTGGTGAGTTCCGGTGGTTTTTTGTTTTTTTGGTTTTGTAGCTGTCGTTTCTCATGGCAGTTGGATACCTCTCGTGTGAGACAGTGTTTTTTGCGATATCTTTTTAGTCACCGAATGAATTCGGCTTTTCTGCGACATGTCGAGCATATTCCTGAAGGAATAAAACCAACATGAGAGAGCATGAGGATTCGATAAGTTTTGGCATGGAACGCGAGCATGATAATTCACCTATCAGAATATGCTGTTAAAATAATGAGCTCATCTGTTTGAAGAACCTCTTAAGTTTTCAATCGGATGTTTCGGAACTCACTGATATTCGTAAAAGAGAACAGACCAGTCAACCTTAATCTCTGGAGACTTCTCCCACTAGACCCTCGCATATGCTCCGGATCGCCAGGGATAAGAATGATGCTGATTGCCATTACTGTATTTTATTTTTTCGATCAACATCAAGCCCAAATACTTCCGTCTAAGCATCAATGTGAAGACAACGTTGCATTTAGCCACTTGATTCATCATTAGTAATCGCTTGTTTGCAGATGTGCAACAATATCCTGTGCAGCACAAAACTTCAGAAGCATGACCTTTCAAATCTCAGATGTCCAACGTCTAGGATTCAACAAAAACATCTTCTCTCAAGCTTATTGCGTCGATGACTGGTCCACTCACCACCAGGACTGGCGAAAGTCACAAAGCGCAATTCCAAGAGCTTCAAACTGCAGCCAATTGCAGTGCAGAGTTCCCGACAGCACATTGCAAAATCCCCTGAATACTCCACAAAAGCCATTACGTAGCTTCTGATATTACAAGCCTGAGAGAAAGAATCAAAATCATTTCCATGGAAGACTGGCTGGAACACAGGCTTGAGGATGTCCTCTGTGAAGGCATTCACCTGCGATCTGCGGACACATATCCACCCCTGCACATGAGAGGGGACGGTCCATCAGGTAATCGCACACCCTTCATATGTAAAACACGGCAATGCAAATATTACCCCGGAACCTACGCTGTCCTTCCGATTTCAGATAAAGCGACATCTTTATTCCAGCAGTGGATGGTTGTGGACTAGAGGTGCATCCATCTACGTCGTTTTGTGGCTTGTCGCGCAATCTGGTCTCGCGAGGACACGGCCCAGGCATTTAGGCAACCATGTGTTCATTTTGCACCTGGACGCTTACTCTCCACAGGGCTTCTCAACGAGACTTCCATGGTATGTTCAAATCGGTTGTTCTTTCTGGATTTCGAATTGACCGTGGTTTCAACTCTTACAGCGCTGATCCATTTTCGCCTATGTTTAAGGTCGCTGCCTAATCGATCTTCGGGGATTAGTCTGGTTAGGCTTCAGAGCCCTGATTACTCATATGTGTGAAATTACTGAAAGTGTGAATCATCTCTTTAGGGTTCGAGAAAGACAGAGTTCTGTGGATTCATTCTGTTCAGATCGAAGCAATCAGTTGTCGTTCTAAAATTCGATGTTGTCGAGAATTTTTTTAGGCTCACATAATAGCGGTCTTGATTTGTATTTAGATAAGAACCCCCATCAAGTTTTATCTGGCTTCAATTTGAACCCAATTCTAGATTTCTCTGGGCTGATTCTATCTGTGTCTGGGTTCGAGGTGACCTTTCTCGCAAACCATCATCCGTTGACGGCGAGTCTTCCAATGGTCGTGCAAAGAGATTTTTATTCCTTGTTTGTACTTCGGAGCTACGTTCTTCTTCAAAAGTGGATTGTCTTTATTACAGGATTTTAATTTCAATGTCAGCTATGACAGAGGACCATCCACAGTGATCAATACCTAGCGAAGCACATCCGTTAGCAGCTTCCACCTTCAATGCTGACCAAAGTAATTCCAAATCGCCCCGATCAAGCTTCTCAGCAGCTTTTGTGAAGCTGGTGATGCAAGAATTGACGTTTCCTTTTAGATACAGCCGCTCATGAATGCTTGTGACACATTGGTGAGCTTGTGGCTAACAAATCCTCCCCTGGCTTGATCGGAGAATTTGATCATCATGAAGCTTTGATATTATGGTTTTGCATCTTTTACTGTAGATAACACTGTGCTGCACGGTTGTGAAATTCTGCTGCAGTTGGTTGCACTACTTCCCTACAAACTGGTAGAAGGCGCTGTGTAAAGTATTAGTTTCTGGTGCATTCTGGAAGCTGCGCTCCTGGTCTTGGTGGCGTGACATCGCAGGAGACTGTAGAAGATATCCAAATGTAATGTACAAACGGTATGTGAAGTTCTGGAGAAGGAGGGTGATGCCACGGTAATACCATATTGGAAAAAGAGAAATATTGGGGAAAACAACTGTGCCAGAATTTCATGCTTAGATTATGCTGGCGGACTGCACCCCAACTTGCATGTAAGCTATAACATGTTCATCTCTTTACAGACAAATTGGTACAGACAACACTTCTCTTGAGTCCATGTCACTAGATCAACTTCGATGTGCACTTCCAGTATTAGCAGCTGGTATTATTGTCCTCTATTGGGTTGTTAGAGCAATGTTCTGACCAATTCAAAGAGGTATGTTGGTGGCATTATTTATATTAAACTTTGTCCTTGAACTCTTGTTTCTTGAACTCTTGTTTCTTGTCACTTTTGTGTAGGAGAGTGAAGTGTATTTTCCTGGATAGAAAAGAGGTGAGAGTGTCAAAATCTCCAATGTTGTGCAAGTGTAATGACTGATAAATGTGCCCTTGAGTACTTCTTGATCTTGTTCTTAGTATTTTGTGTGTGGGTTTAGCATTTATGACATACTGTGGTTTCATCTTTTGATAACAAAGTTGGGAGCAAATCCTAATGAAGTATGAGCGCTGTGTAAGATGAATTTTAATTTGAAATGGATGTTTTTAGTAGTTTCTCAATTGTCATTTGACATTGTGTACATTTTTGGTGAGATTTATTTAAGTTGTACTTTAATTGTGATTAATCACTTTAGATTTACTTTTATAAAATAATTGACAACTATATGAAAATGTAGCAAAGCGTTTAGTATTTCAAATCTTGCAATTTATTTGTATTTGATAAGCACTTGATTATTTTAAGAATTAATTTCTAAGATACAATTCTGATAATATTCATCATGTTTTCACATGATGTAGATAAATATTACAAGAGTTTAGTATAAGTATTATATATATATATATATATATATTGATGCAAGTCAAGATGAAAATCTCAATAATTTACAATTGGTCTAAAGTTTTAATGTAAAATCTCAATTATTTTTAATATAAGATAGTAATAAGCTTATAAATGATTTCTTCTTAAATAAAAAACTAAGATTTAGAATTTTTTACTTTAAATAAATTAATATTTTTTAATAAAGATTGAATTTATAGTTAAAAAATTTTAAGCTAAAGATTTATTATATATATATATATATATATATATTTTTTTTTTAATATCTATAAAAATATAATATTATATTAATAAAAATTTGTAAAGTATAAAATCCTTATAAATCCTATTCTACAAATTATATATCTTGTAATTTGTAGATATTATTCATAGCTACAATTATCCTTATGTTCTTTTAAATGCTTAAAAGAAACACCTTTATATTTTAGATACATTGATTACAAGTTGGTGGAATACCAAAGAAAATAATCAAGCATAAAATTTATATTTAGTAAATTTATATTTTTTTATAAATAATTTTAATTATATTTTTTTATAAATAATTTTAATTATATTATTAAAAATAAGAATATTAAAACTATAAAAAATTATAAGTTAGGATATTTATATTAAGATAGTAATTGTCACAGACATACTCATGTAAGCGAGTTATTACATATATAAATAGATAGAAGTAAGTAAAAGTAGATAAAAGTAAGTTAATTCTATAGTATTTGATATGAAAGCTTCCTAGAAGCTTTATAGACCCTGCTTTGACTTTATAGGTGTCTTTAATTGACTTTTTGGATTAGAAACGTCGTGAATAAGTTGGCCATGTGCCACACATGTTGTTAGCTTGAAGACCAAGCTAATTATGTGGCCCACACATAGAAAAACTTGCCTTGTAAGTCAAGGCATGTGTCCTACAAAGTCAACACATATTGGAGGTCCTATAGAATGTTGCCATGTAGCCCCTAGTTAGATAGTATATATAGAGATAAGAGTGAAGCCTTCTTCAGTCTTGTCAACTCTTTTCTTGCTTCCAGTCTAGTTTCAAGGGTCTCTAGTTTTCTTCGCTTTTTGGCAATAGCCATTCCAGTTTCTTTCTTAATATATATATCAAGTTATTTCTATTTTGTCATCTTTCTTTGAGAGAAGTCTCACTCATTTATTTATCTTTATCGTGTTCTTGTCTTTGACAGATTGACAAGAGTACACTTACAATATCAGAGCTTTGTCTAATCTTGGTTAAGAGTAGATTACCTCTTTTTCTTGATAAGACATAAGCATATTAGAAGTTGCGGATTATCTTCTTCTAAACTGATATTGTCCTTAGTATTTTCTTTGTTCTCAAGTCCTCTCTTCTATTTGTCTTGAGTGATATTAGACATCTTCTCTTTTCTAAGTGTTATCATGGCGGAACTTGCTGAAATAAAGAGTGCAATGGCACAAATGCAAGAGCAATTGAGAGAGTTAATGCTTGCGATGCATCAACTCAATTTACCACCATAAGGAGCAACAAGATTGGCAAGAAGTGAAGATATAGAAATGTTCGGAGCTACTTCAACATCTACACTAAATCATGTCCCTTCTCTTATGGTGGAACACCCTTCCAGTGTTAGAAAACCAAGAATTGCCCTATCCGAGAAGTTTGATGGCACCAGATCAAAATTTAGAGGATTTACTAATTAAATATAACTTGTGATTGAACTTCAATTCCAAAGCTATTCAACTCTAGGATTGCAAGTTAGATTCATTGGTACGCTTCTTTCAGGTTCAACATTATCATAGTTTTCATCTTTTCTTGAACGACGAGATCTAATATTGGATAATCTAAAGGCTTTTTTGGTGGAGTTTCGATCCATGTATGGAGAATATGATGCAATTCATATTGCAACCAATAAGATTCATATTTTACGATAAGGCAATCGATTAGTAATATTGTATGCTTCACAATTTTGACAACTTGCAACTAATATCAAGTGGGATGATGTTGCACTCATTAGCCAATTTTTCTGTGGATTACAATATGAAATAAAAATATTAATGCTCAACTTACCTAATCCTCAAACATTGAGTCAAGCAATTGACTTTGCTGTGAAGTGCGACAATCGCCTTTTTGAATTCTGATTTGAGAACCATACAAGTGGACCTCAATGTAACTACAATTCAATAACAATACCAACATCTCTTCAACACATACATTCAAAAGTAGAGGATATGCAAATTGATGCAGTACGTTTCAAACCTCTTACTGAGCAAGAAAAGACTCGTCGTCGTCAAGAAGGTTTGTGCTTATATTGTGGAGAACCTAAGCACACTCCTCAACATTGTCCAAAGAAATGACGCAACCATAAAATGAGGAGTACAGCAATCAAAGGAGATAGCATGTCGAAAAACGAATTTTTCCAACTACATTAGGGACCGTGCAGTTGGAACCTTGTACAACGCCTAGTGAAGGTCCTATTCTCTCCTCAGAACCCTCTCCATGTTTTATGATAAATATTATTCTAGAACCTAAATATTTCAAAGCCTCTACCTTACTAGATTCAAGAGCCTCAGCATGTTTCTTAGGTGAAAAATTTGCTAAAAGACGTAGCATATTTTTAATAAAGAAAACTAAACCTGTTCATGTAAAAGTCATAGATGGTCGTCCGTTGTCTTTAGGAGATGTTATTCATGAAATCCTTCCTATAGAAATAGCAACTAATAGTCATAGTAGTTTATAATATTTAATATCATTAGATCTCTTTATAATTGAGTCATTTTAGGTTTATCATGGCTAGAAAAATATAATCCTAAAATAGATTTGACTTCTTGTAGTCTTAACTTTTCTGAAAGTATAACTAAGAGTGTAGTTAATCAAGTAGAAAGTCATAAGTTTAGTATAATTAAACCTATATTTGTAAGTGTAAGAGCTTTCTTGCATACTGCAAAAGAAAGATCACCTTGTGTCATTTATGCCACACCTGTTTCTATTGGTGAAAAGACTTCAAGTGGTATCCCAAGCCAATATCAAGATTTTTAAGATGTATTTGAGAAAAAGAATGCAGATACTCTTCCAGAACATCGTTCCTATGACTGCTCAATTGACCTTCAAGAAGAAGCACAACCGCTATTTGGACCAATCTACAATTTATCTTAAAAAGAGTTGGTTGAATTCAAGGAGTATATTGAAGAGAATTTGGCCACGAACTTCATATGCCATTCAAAATCTCTAGCAAGAGCTCCAATATTATTTTTGAAGAAAAAAGATGGATCATTACTGATGTGTGTTGATTATCAACGACTTAACAAAATTACTATAAAAAATAGGTACTCACTATCTTTGATATCTGGATTTCTTGATCAATTGAATCAACCTAAGATCTATACAAAAATAGATCTATGGGGAGCATATAATTTGATACGCATCAAAGAAAGAGATGAATGGAAGACTCCATTTTGAACAAGGTATGGACATTTCGAATACAACATCATGCCTTTTGGACTTATAAATGCACCAATAACATTCCAACATCTAATGAATGATGTCTTTTGGGAGTTTTTAGATGATTTTTTTATCTGTTATCTAGACGATATCTTAATCTATTCTAAGAATGCAAAAGAACATGAACTTCATGTTCGTCAAGTATTACAAAAACTAAGAGATGCAGGACTCTATGCCAAGTTAAAAAAGTGTATATTTCACACTACTCAAGTTGACTTCTTAAGATACATCATTTCAAATGATGGACTTATGATAGATCCTAAGAAAGTTCAAACTATTATAGATTGGAAGATCTCAAAAACGGTAAGAGATGTCCAATGCTTTTTGGGATTTTCCAACTACTATCGGATCTTCATCAAAGACTTCTCTCAAGTTGCAACTCCACTAATACGTTTGACTTGCAAAAACAAACTTCAATGGAATCAAGAAGTAGAAGTAGCATTTGAAGCTTTGAAGACAATCTTTGTTTTTGCACCAATCTTGTATAGTGTCAATTTTTCTAAGCCATTTTTTATGGAAACAGACGCATAAGACTTTGCTTTGGGTGCAATATTGTCACAAATGGGAATAGATAATAAACTTCACTCAATAGCTTTTTATTCCAAAAAATTTTCAGTAGCCAAGATCAACTACGAGATCTACAATAAAGAACTTCTTGCAATCGTAGATTCTTTTGAAGAATGGTGCCATTATCTAGAAGGTGCTTCTAACCCAGTCACAGTGTATATGGATTATAAGAACCTTAAATATTTTATGTCAACACATGTTTTGAATCGTCGCCAAGCCCATTGGAGTACGTCTCTATCAAGATTCAAATTCAAGATCACTTATCGACTAAGAAAATAACAAGGTTTGTCAGATGCACTCTCTAGACGATCTTATCTTGGAGCAAAGGAAAGAGATGCTGCTTTTGATTAACAACGGATAATTTTCTTGAAGTTAGAGCATCTTTATCTTTCAGCAATGAAA